ATTATTATTATTATTATTATTATTATTATTATTATTATTATTATTATTATTATTATTATTATTATTTTTATTTTATTATTATTATTACCATGTTCGTATAAAAATTTTATCTGTTAAAACAATAGCACTAAATGCGAAAACTACTAATTATTCGATACATACCTCATCAAATAGTGACGGATTGCTCATTAAACACACTTAGCAAGTGCTTAGTGCACCAGTCCAACAGGGTACCAGAAGAAAAAAAACATTCATATTACTGGTTGATGATAAAATTAAATGAATAATATAACACCATTTCTATCTCCATTAAACAATTATTTTGATTTCAAATGATGGCAGTAATGGTACTTTCTTACCGTTATAGCTTTTAATATGGTGTTTTAGTTTCACATTTTGTTGGGGTCGGGAAACCATAATATTTTCAGTGCTTAGGGCCATGATTCAATTTAAATTGACTTGTATGCTCAGCCATAATTTTAATTATCTTGACAAAGACTATAATCTATCTGATGTAATGGCGTTATTGTAATAAGGTATGACTGTCTATACAAATTTAGAACAAATTCTGAAACATTTATTATATAAAACAATTCTATCACAAAGAACGGATAGCAAGCAAAAACACGTTTTCATTTTCACATATCTCCACTACTGAATATTGCTTCCACAATAATCCTGATAAAATGCATCTCTTTTGTGACTATACAGAGAGAATATTAGGCTAAAAGGATCCTGGTTATACGCAATCAAATTCACGACAAAATAACTCGAGTCAATCAGGTTTCTCATTACCTGCGCTTTCTTCATGTAGCTGCAGATAAACCGAACTCAACTAAGGCTATAGGTCTCTACCCTCAAGCAAAACTATAAGCGGCAACTAAACCCATGTACATTTTGTTGATATATTATACACAGTTTTTTTTAATACATACAATTTCCTAACAATTTTTTATTTTGAAACAGAATGTGTTAATCAGCTGAAAACTTAAAAGCTATCTTTATGCTTTACGTTTTACAAATGATTCGAATCTGATTTTTTTTTTAAAGAACACTTTAGGAAACTCGCAACAGCCTTATCAGAAAAGAATACTGGTCAGTTAGAGAAGAAGTTGTAGGTAAAAATGAGAGTATCAATGAGAATTTAAGCGAACCAATATTTGCAGAATTAGATATGCCAATTGTAATTGAAGAACTTAGGCCAACTGTAAAAAAAGAAAATCAAAACCCAATAAAGTAACACAGTTTTGAATCAATACATTACTGAGTCATTTTTACTGTTATAAAATTACTTCTCATCTGTATTTTCTCTTTTCAGAGATGGAGGATGCAAGAAAAGGAGAAAAAGATCATGGTCATTTCGTACCAAAGTCGTTTCGTACCCAGAGGAAATTGGTCGTTTCGTATCCAATGGGCTGGTTGTTCCGTTCCCAAGGTGCTAGTCGTTTTGTACCCGAGGTCCTGGTCATTTCGTACCCAAGGTGGTGGTCGTTTCGTACCCATTCATTTACAAAATCAAATATACAGTATCGTCATATTTACCGCTCCCTCTCTAAGCATAATATTTTTACTACCTTAAAAATTGCGTGAGCAAAGCATATCCAGGTAAAACAGTGAATTAACACATATAATTTCTGCAATTGTCTTGTTTCACTGAATAATAGCATATATGTACTAAAAACAATAACAAAAGAAAAAAAAAATAAATTTGCCAGTAAAATTAAAATGAAAACGTTGTCCAACGTTAAAAAACTGAATAAGTCCATTATATTTTCTATCGTTCAAGTTAATAAACATTAACCTATTTTGGCATTGTTAAATATTGTTTAACGTGAATGAAAAAATACAAATTTCAAAGCAACTAAAAATTCTGCGATCGTTGAATGATGGTGTCGAATGCAAATACAATTGTGTTGCTTGATTAAGATTCTGTTCTACAAGGACCAATACTGGTGTTAATTTCTTTTTTTTTCGAATGCTTTTAAAGATGTTCAGCAAAGTATACTATACAGACCGCCAAGTCATTTTTTGGTAGACTGTGGGCCGCATCAGCATACTTGTGCAATGTATGGGATACTCTTCGATCTCAAGAATCTAACAAGTTAGTAGCGTAATTGAAATTCTCCGTTTTCAGCTAAGTATAAATATTAATATTTTTCATGGCAAGTGATTTTTTTTGGTTTGGCATATTAATATTTTGTTATCATCCTAGATATAAAGTACCTAAATAATCGTCCACACACACACACACACACACACACACACACACACACACACACACACACACACCGAAAGAAAGATATTTAACTTGACAATGCATTTCAGATATATCTACTTCTGTGTTTTAAAAATGAAGTATTTAATTTTTTAAATAATCAAAGATATGTATGCATGTTTTGATTCTGCCAGTATTAAAACGTTTATAATACAGCATCCCATGTACTACGTCATATATTTTTTTTTTCAGAATAAAACGGTAAAATTTAAAATCCCATGAATGATTGAAGGAGATGTCTCAGTGAGCCGTAACCAAAGACTTACAACATTATTCCGAATTGTATATTCCTGAGTTTTATTACAAACATGTAGAAAACATAAGAAACATTGTCTAATAATGCAGTTAATTTGCCTTGTAAGTCACTTGTCGGACCGTATATGCTGCTGCAACGTTTCAGTTATTTTGAGGAGGAGATAATGCCGTTCTGGTACTTTCACACACTGAGAATATTCTTCCCTGCATGTTTTTATATGTTTTATCCCTGGTATCTTCTCAGCTTTTATCTGCTTGAACTTCAACTTTCTAGATATGCGTGGATTTTAACATTTTATAACTTAATATTTCAATTATGCTTTTTATATATTATATTTGTACTTTAGGAACGAAACGACTATAGAATTGGGTATGAAACAACCAGCACCTTGGGTACGAAATGACCAGTAACTTGGGTACGAAACGACCATTGCTTTGGGTACAAAAAGACTCATTTGGGTACAAAACGACTTGGGTACGGAATGACCAGTTTCGGAAAATAATCATTACCAATATCAATTAACAGAGATGCAGAGGAGACTCTTCGAAGCACAGCTTCCCTTCAGGGATTCTCATATGGGAGTACAATATTTATTATAAGGTAAGGCGTACTCCTCACAACCCTCTAATATTTAGTTATTATAAAGTAAGGCGTACTCCTCGCAACCTTCTAAAAGTTATTGCGCAAATCATAATTTGTATGCAATAAACAATATTTTATATTTTATATCATAAATTGTGTGCAAACAGACACGGCTCTCTCTCTATCTCTGCGATCACGTGTCTTCCAAATCTTGTTAATTTGAACATCGATCTTACAGAGAAAAAAATCCATGCATTACAGATCCAGAAAAAGCTGAAGTAGACATTCTACTCAGGAGATGTTGAATGACTTCTTTATCTGATATATTAGCAAGGAACATACCAAGATGAATATCAAAAGTTTTATATGTGTCCAATATATTAGATGTGCATATTACTGGTTCAAATTACAAAACACAAATAGATATATTCATGGAAACAATATATAAAAATATGCTTACCGATTGAGAAAGAAAGAAAAAGGTTTCTGATGTGATCCCAGGATTTTGAGAAGTCGGATATTACCTTAATTCAGTCCATATATCTTTCTTTTCATCGCTTTTTATCCAAAGACAAAAAGACATATTTCATTCTGAATGGCCTTCAGTAAGTTGCCTCGAAAACTTCATATTCGTATTGATATATCAAAGATATGTCCATAAACATCTTAGAATAATTGATAATGCCAGGCTTTAATTATCTTTACGGTGACACTTCATAAGTATCAGACTGGAAGACAAGTACGAAATGAATGACATGAAAGACTTTGTGAATAATTAAATCGAAGATGAATAACGTTTTGTCCTAATTTGTCTTATATACGTATCACCCAGCTTTTACTGATCCCTTTTATTGGCAAAATGAAAGCATTACACATTTCTACAGTTACTTAGATTTAACAACTGTTAAATACTTAGATATGTATATAATGCGTTCCAATTTAGATTACTCTCTCTCTCTATTATGTGTTATATGTGCACACACATAAAGAAAACAAATTAGCAATAAGAAAAACGTAAAAGCTCAATGCACTTGTAAGCTCAAATTGCACGTGCTTCAATTAGGACGTAATTATTTACAGATTTACAGTTCCATTCTGACACTGTTAAATGAAGGAACATGTCATCCTGTTGTCTTTATTTAGTGGTCTGCATTGGAGAAACTCATTTTGTTTGGTGCTTTTCGGCACAGCTACACAAGTAGGTCATTTACTGCCCAGGCAATTAGGGTAAAGTGCTTTGTCCTAGCACACACCACCGTAGCTGATTCAGGCTTGTTAGATGGTAGGTTTCGAATCTGTACCTTTAGTTTTTAGTCCGGCACCCAAGCTAATGAGTCATTTTTGAAATAAAAGAATAATCGATTGCAGCTAGTATTCATTGGACTCTATTCGGCAACCAGACTGAAAAGCATCATTATAAAGTACATGGGTCATCATAAAATTAATATACCCACCTGACAGCCGGCAAATACATTCTGGCTTATTCGTGTAGTTTCTCCGTGTATCATTCAGTATATAAACAAAATTATTTAATGAAACGTCCAGTGGGTGGTGAACACGAACATCCGTGTGGTGTCTATCTATCTATCTATCTATCTATCTATCTATCTATCTATCTATCTATCTATCTATCTATCTATCTATCTATCTATCTATCTATCTATCTATCTATCTATCTATCTATCTATCTGTCTGTCTGTCTGTCTGTCTGTCTATCTATCTATCTATCTATCTATCTATCTATCTATCTATCTATCTATCTATCTATCTATCTATCTATCTATCTATCTATCTATCTATCTATCTATCTGTCTGTCTGTCTGTCTGTCTGTCTATCTATCTATCTATCTATCGGTATATCTATAAGAATATCTATACATCTGGACCGCTGTTGTGGCCTAAGTGGTAAGAGCGTTCGCATTATATGCGGGAGGTCGTACGTTCGAACCCCGACAGAGTCATACTAAAGACTATAAATATGGTAATAGCAGCTGGTTCACTTGGCACTCAGCATTAGGACTGGTTGGCGTGATGTCAGGATAGTGTGACTGGGTGGGACATGCATATTTTTTGTTGATTTATATATGAATAACTGGTACTTTTTTTGGTTTTGCCCTATCTTTACTTAGATCACAGCATATCGATTCAGGACATTGAGTGGAAATTGTACAGACTAGTGTGTATTGAAACAACATCAAATTCAGTATAATTCATTTTTCAAAACTACATATGTAGCAGGCAATTTTATATTACCAGAAATGACTTTGATTATCAAATATATTTATTGATGAAACAGTAAGTAAATTGTAGGGGTGGGTGGGTTTTTATTGTTTGTGGCTAAATTTCGTTGGGTCTATAAATTCATGGTTTGGGGCAACCATAGAAATTCTGAAAGGAAGTGATACTAAATTATCAAATATAAAATCAATATTTCACTTGAGGTACTTCTGTTTGAGAATTCGATGGAAAATATGAAACCATACAACAATATTTTCACTCGTTCACAAAATGTCTATCTATTAGAGATGCACATCGAAAAAAATATTATGATTGATACGGTATTTTCATCCCATTAAGATGTCCTAGCATAAAGGGCTAAAAAGTATTTTTAAAACAATTTTTTTTTATAATTTTTAATACTCTAGCTATACTACCCCTTTCTTGTTAGAATGAGAATGAACTCCCTAGAACAATCCTATGAATAACTTTCATATATTTTATCTTTGATCGTCATTTATAATGCCTGTAAACATTAATGAAATAGAGAGAGATGTAACGTTCTTCTAGCACGTGCATAATACAAGTACAATGTTTTGTGACTCCTAATTGTCAATATTCATTGACACAATGCAACGTTTCTAAACCGGATTCAGCTGAGACCAAACATTTTGTATGCGTGTAAAAGGTTTTCCGAATTAACAGGATTTGTTATTATTAGAATGCCACTATTAGTATTATGTTGCGGGTCGAAGGAAGAGACCAAATTGCAAATAGGCAAGTTTTAAGAAAGGTTTACAATAATTTTAAGATTTAAAGAATGTGAAAAACCCTATTAAATCAGTATCGTATAAATCAAAACTGCTGGTACTTACATATTTTCAGATATATAATCCTGAAATGTCAAATTCTAGTATGCATGTTATAAAGAAACTGAATCTTCTGTTTCATGAAAATATATGCTGACGTTAGCACTTTAAGTTCAACGTATCAGCAATTGCTTATATTAATTAAAAGCATAAAAAGAGAGAATTTGAATGTAAATGCATGAGCTTTCTGTATAAACTTGAATGTATTTAATCACTGTTAGTTGCAAAAGATCACTTTGAAATTTACTTGGAAGAAGAGAATTTAGTGAGCAGAGTGTAAGAAAAGAAGCCCTTATTGGTCAAAGAAGTATGTTCCATTAAAGAAAAAAGGAAAAAAATTAACCTGCAGAATAAATTCATTCATATGTCCCCATGCAAAATGTGTAAACCTTCAAAGTTATCACCATATTTACAATGCAGACAGACCGATGATGCAACTTCAGTGGATATTTAGACCTAGCCCCGAACACACACTTGAAGATGGGTTGTAAAACACAAAATGCCCGATTCATTTCTTTAAGTATACATTTGAAAGAATAAAGAGTCTATGAATACAAATGGAATGTATAATAAATATAAATCCATATACGGTTTTGTTCCTAGACGGTGGAAAGAGCTCGTTTGATAAAACGCGCAACATCGCCTGACCTCTGAATATTCTTATACGGTCTACACTACTTTCATGCTGTATTGTGTCAGTATATATATATATATATATATATATATATATATATATATATATATATATATATATATATATATATATATATATAGACTTAGAAATCTAACTTTGAACCTTTGCCAGTGCATATTAAATTTTAAACGTTTTCAGTATATCTTATTATCGATATGTATAGTTTAAGCATATATTGTGTGCAGAGACTTGTGTGATTAAAGTAGTTATTATTTCTGGAGTCAAGTACAAATTTTATTTTAACGAGTGTGTCGGAAATCCCTCCTTAACTTTGTTGTGGTTGGTTATCTGGTTTTGGTTATCGATATCTATAGGTAATTGCTGACGGTGTAATTTGCCTGGAACGAGTAAATGTCGATATAAAGTATGAAACTTATGGGTGGAATAAATAAAGATCTGAGGAGATATATAGAACATAATAACACGAGCCCCCGTTACAAACAAAGACAAAAATTTAATCAAACTTTTTAACAATAAAATTCATAAACGGGTTTGGTAAGCATTACAATTGTGAAAGATACATTTCCGTCTTTTTGAATAAACTTATTCAAGAAATTTCAAAATACAAGTAGCTGATGTGTTAAAGAATAGAAACAAATCATCATCAAATCGAGTGAGGGATCGAAAAACACTGCCTTGCATCGATTCATAACCTGATGTATCAACTCAGTCCAATTCCACACCGACTGTTTCTCTTTACTCACTTGTGAATATAAATCTGGGTATTCTGCACTCTTTCCCTTCCTTTTCCAAAGTCTACGGTATCTAGCCTCTTTCGGCCCTTCCAACTTTGTGTAGCTCCTTTGAGTTGTAAATCGTGAGACGTCCTGTAGTTATCTCACCTTGTGCTTTTAAACTTTTGCGTCTGTCAATTTCTTCAGACAATCGTTTGCCCTGGATGATTTTTACAAGTGAATTTACTTCTTGAATTACTCGGAGTTTTCTTACGTTCAATTTCTATTGTTAGAAAACGTAGATTAATTTTCAGTTTTTAATGTTAGCACATTTAAACTGAGTTTTCGTGTGAAACCAGGCACTCTTAACAGCGTGTCCAATCTGGGTGAAATATAATTCTCTCCTGAACTGGAATCAAACAAAGTAGTTCCAACTTGGGTTATCCAGCTGATTCCTGGTAAAAGTCTGAAATTACAGTTTTCCATACAGATCAGAATTGACCCCTATCCAATTCAGTTTGAACAAAAGTAGCCGTAATAAAAAAAATCTTTAACTTGCCCCAGTGCTAGATCTGATGCACGCATTATGATATATATACCTGCTAGTGACTTGTCTGTGAACTATTATATTGTAGTTTCAAAATATTACAGACAAGAAATACTGAGTCTAGCTCATTAAACCTTCTTGGCTGGTCATTTAGGGATTAATAAGACTTATCACATGATTTTGAATCACTTCTATTGGCCAAAAATCAAAAGTGATGTTTGTAAATATTGCAGATCTTGTCATACTTGTCAAATGGCAGGAAACCCAATTAGAAGATACCTAAATCTCATCTGCAACCTAATCCATGCATTTGACTAACCATTTGGCAGAATAATGGTAGATTGTGTCGATCTCTTACCTAATACTAAGTTAGACAACCAATACTTATTGACTGTAATATGCGTCAACAAGTTTCCCAAAGATTCCTTTGAAGAATATTAAAACTGAAACAATAGCAACAGCTTTGATGAAGATCTTTTACTCTATTTTTGGTCTTCCCAAATCTGTCCAATCTTATCAAGGGTCAGATTTTATGTTTCGAATTTTCCAGCAAGTTATGTATGAATCAGGCATCCAACAATTCAAGTGTTGCCCATCATCCTGAGAGCCAAGGGGCTTTAGAAAGATTTCATCAGGCGTTGAAAAAGATGATTCGATCAAATTATTTTGATACGGGTTAAGATTAGGATGAAGGCATTCTTTTAATATTGTTTGCTGTTTGGGAATCAGTTCAAGAATCTTTAGGATTCAGTCCCTTCGAACTAATGTTTGGACACTGTGCGTGGACAATTGAAATTGTTGAAAGAGAAACTTATTTCTAAAGAAGATACTAAACTTAATCTTCTCGATGATGTTTCCAATTTTAAGGATAAGTTGTCAGAGGCTTGTGAGTTTGCAAGAGCGAATCTGTACCCTACTCAGTCAAAACTGAAATTAAAGTATGGTTAAAATACAAAGGAAAGGAGTTTTCAGGCTGGTGATAGAGTTCTGGTTCTCTTGCCCATACTTCATACGCCTATTCATGACAAATATTATGGTCTCGAAGCCATTGAGAAGAAAGTAAATGATTTAAATTACATCATAAATACTCATGAGAAGCTAAAACAAAAACAACTTTGCCACATTAACATGTTAAAGAGGAATAGTGAGAGCGTTAGCCAGGTAAATCATGCAATCAATTTAGCTGTACCTGGTCCACTCAGTGAGGATTTAAGTGAAGGAATGCAATCAGACACTATTGACTTTGGAGTGACAAACTTCGCAATTCAGAAATTATAAATAATCTGGACCAGAAACTTTCATATTTGCAAAAATGAGAGAGGAATGAACTTAAACGATTGAATAAAAACTCTTATTTCCATGTGTTCTTACAAGAACAAACAACATTTTCATGACGTTGAAATTGTAAATTCTATACCTGTGAAACAACGCCCATACAGGAGGAAAAATCTCATACAGGAATAATTGAAAAAAATAAAATCAGTATTTGCTGGAAAATGATTTCATAGAACCGAGAAAGAGATGACTTGAGTTCATCATGTGTACTTGCTACACGTGATGAACTCTTGTACAAGCTACAAAACCAGATAATAATTTCGGAATGTGCAGTTATTATAGAACAGTGAATAGTGTGAAAAAACAGATTTATTTCCATTACCAAGAATAGATGATTGCATTGATAAAATTGGAAATGCCAAGTATGTCACCAAATTTGACCATCTGAAAGGATTTTGGCAAATGTCGGCATTCGAAACTCCATATGGACTTTATCAATATAGAATGATGCCGTTTAGGATGACATGTTTGTCAAGTACATTTCAATGTTTAATGAACATAATTACATCTGGTCTAGATAATTGTGATGCTTACATCGATGATGTCATCAACTACAACGACACATGGAAAGAACAATTCTGAAATTCTTTGACAAACTCGCTGATGCATGTTTGAGAATCAATTT